CCTGTTGTGTGTGGTACAACGTCCGGGTTCCTATCATCAGTCTCCTCCGCGGTGACCAGGACGGGTCCCTTGATGCCTTGCAGAGACACAGTGAGCAGGTTACCCGTGCTGGCAGTCGACATTTTCGTTCCCGCCTCTGTGAGGGACTCAGGGGACCCCGAGCTCGTGCGTTGGTCGTCGTCCTCATGATCGAAACAGTCGAGACACACGCCACCTCGCAACCGGAACGTGATCACTGCTACCAACCCGACCACTCCGAGTGTCACTACTATACCTGCTAGTACCCACAGCACTGGAGTGACCTGAGGGAAAGCTGGAAATGAAGTGGCTATTGCCACATGACAGAAAGTCAGAATACAGCTTCAAACACGTGTTTGTTACAGATCTACAAGCGCCCTTGATGCCGTAACGTACAAGGCAGGTCCTTGGTGAGTACTGGCTCAGGAGGAATCTTTTATTGCAGAGACGATCTAAGTATTAGTGATTATGCCATGAACGATGAAAAAAATTATAACTTTCACACATTCTCTCACTCAAAAATTTTTTTTTTACAAAACATAAAATCTGAAAGTAAACGAGATTTCTGTAATTTTGTGGAATAAGCCTGCATCCCTGTTACATAAGAAATCACACCTTAAAACGATGCTTAATGCATGTAACAAATCTCAGTTTTTTACAATTAATGGTTTAAGAGTTACGAACTTTTAAGTATTTATTTTTTTCGACAAAAGTCTGGGGTAGACTAACTGTGTAAAAATGCAGTTTTCTCATTTATCGAGTGATACTGAAAAACTACGTTTCCTGGGTATACCATTATATCGATTCATTTATTCTATATTATATTATAATAGTTAGTGTAATAACACAAATGTTCAGGTTCAGTTCTTACAACGGACACGATTTATTAATGACACCAAACGTAAATATACACTTTTATTAGGTTACTCAACGTGGCTGTAACATCCACACTCCTTAAGCACACATCTAACGCACAATACAAGAAACACAGCTGACTTGGATGGAGTGAGATATTAAAATTAATACAACTGGTTTTCCAGCTTAATTATTAAAATATCAGATACATTTGAGGATTAACGCAGAAGCTGTGCCCAAAAAACTACTTCAAATACCGACAAAGATTTCAGACATTGAACTGAGCGGGTACAATAAAGCAGAGACTCCAAGGAAAAGGTCTACGATGATAAGGTCATTCTGGGCTTAGGCTCTTGCTTGTGGTTCACAGGTTACCATGGATGCAGAGGATATAAATTACTCCACTAAGTTGGTAACCGCCTTCAAGGCTGAACGGAGTCATCGTAATATAATACAGAATGTAACTACTTGCTGTTCTTATAGTTTGTTAAACTGTGGGCAAAACTAAATCTCTCCTAAGTATCTAGTTGAAGAGAGTCCATTTAACAAGAAATTCTGAGAATAAAGTAAAATACTTTTATTAAACATAGAGATAAGTCAGTTGGAGTTATAACTTGATCACTATACAGCTCATTTTATGTCTTTGATCTAAAATTTGTCAAACATCTGAACGGTTATTCACATTCGCTGCGTATATGGTTGTAATTTTCAACACACAAAAAGCTTTATAATCGATAACAACAGAAAGTTCCACAGACGGAATGTATCTGCTTCTTGTTGAAACTCAAGTTTTAAAGTCTATTCTGTTATTCACCGAAGAACACTTGGGATTTCGTCTTTGTTTGTTTTATTTTTCCCATAAATACCGCATTAAATAACACCAGAAGTTATTACATCACAAGATAGTGTAATTGCGTCATATTGTGAATATTATAACAATTATTTATTTCAATCCGTCTGATCACAATATTTAAAATTTCTTATAATTAAGATAATAAAATATCATTCATGTTCCATATCGATTGATCGATTTACATTTCGGAACATTTACACAACATGTTTCGGTTTTTATAAAACCATCATCAGGTGTAAAATATATCTAAGAACTTAAAACTCAATTATGATTTCTGTAGTTTTTTGGTGATGTTTCATTACGTTTGTTTTTTCCATTTTTGGGCGAAGGTGTTGTTTTTCTTAAATGTTATTAGATGTACATATCGGCCAAAGATGTAGGAGTGAGTGTCCCGATATGTCCAGAAGTACTAGTGTCTTCGAATAGGTGTGGGTCAATATTGAAACATCACCAAAAAACTACAGAAATCATAATTGAGTTTTAAGTTCTTAGATATATTTTACACCTGATGATGGTTTTGTAAAAACTGAAACATGTTGTGTAAATGTTCCGAAATGTAAATCGATCAATCGACATGGAACATGAATGATATTTTATTATCTTAATTATAAGAAATTTTAAATATTGTGATCAGACGGATTAAAATAAATAATTGTTAATATACCACGTTAAATAACACTAACACACTGATTTCTAAGTCTAAAATAGAGAATTTATTTAAATGCAACAAAATAACTTCTAGTTGTAAAGTTTGATCACGCATTTTGACTGATGAATAATCGAGAGTTTCTTTAATAAAACTGACGTAATCGATTACAGAAAGGAGCTCGTGTAAAGTAATTTTAACATAAATATTTGCATACTAAAATTTTATTAATATTTATCAGATAAAACCAGTCTACTACACATTTAGAATTTATAAAGAAAGGGGTTAAAATCAATGCCATAATCAGGACAAGCATTCATTTCCTATGCACACAACGTCCCACTGACGTAGGTTGTACATTAATGGTTCAGAACATTAATAATAAAATATGATCAACGGTTATACCTTGCAGCACGAAATACTGGCTTATTAAAGGGAAATGCCTGCTCATGAAGTTAAAAACTACGTACTTTCTTATCCCCTGAACACCTAGAGCATTCTTCATGCAAACACGCGAGACTTGTGGAATATTTGTAACATACCGAAAACTAGCCAAGGTTAAGAAACAGGTTTTAAGATAAAGCTGTGTCGTTCATAAGATATTAAATTTTGAGATTCAAATGACGAAATGTGTCTGCAGGGGTTCCTATACCAATAGAAGCATGGCAGTTACTTTTAATGATAAACATGCCCTTAGAAACCTTCACATAGAGTACCAATGTGGTTTTATTGCAGTTTATGTTCCTTTCTGAGAGACGTTATCTTCCATAACAAAGCCATACCGTGTTGAGTTTCATACTGATTAATATTTTAGTAAAAAAATAAGTAAAGCTGTCCCACTATACGCCATGTAGACGCTTGGGGGGAGGAGGTCTCGGAACTAGATGGGGGTGAGTGGTGAGCGTCACGCCGCGGCCGCGATTAACCCCCGGGAAAGGAACCCGGTACCCATTGTATAGGAGTCTGGGTGGGTTATATAAGTCATGTCTCCGAGACGTTCAAGTGGTGCATAAAGTCTTAATAGTATTATAAAATCTTACATAACAAATCTCTTTTCTATACTGTTTATTTTATTCTATAACAGATACATTTTGGTTATGTGCTTGGTTCAAATCGTTCCACTATTTAAAATCACATGTTATAGTTTATAAAGGTAAGTTATCAACGCCAAATTCTAAAACCAAACAATCTAAAACATATAGAAACTTAAAATATGAAGTCTATATGTTTTAGACTGGTCTGATGTTTTCTTATGATAATTAAGATGAACGCACGGGATATCCCGTGAATGGGTATCAATATGAGTAGTAACCTCACTGCGGGAAACAATATCTTGGTCAGAATCGGTCGTCACAGGGTCATTCTAACTAGACGCAGCAATAAGGTTTCGGTCTAAAACTTAAAATATGCGGAAGTATGGGAATTACATTTTGTGTCACGCTGTACCGTTCATAATGAGGCGCTCCGTGAAACTAGTGTGGTGTACAATAAGTTAAATTGCTACAGTCAATGAGCCATAGTCCGGGAAACAACTGATTACGAGTGATCTCCTAAATGGAGAGGTGAGCCACAACTATCGGTAGATTTTTTACTTTTCTCCACTTTCAGTTAGCAGAAACGGCAATCACATCACTAAGCTCACACAGAAGCTGTGACTGAAGAATGCGCGATGTATTTATTACGTGCGTGGTGCGAGCATCAGAGATTCATTGCTCAGTTAATTTAATTTGTGCTTGTATTTAGCACAATTTAACTGCGCATTTTAACTGATCGTCTATGGGGACTTTACAGTGATCTACGTAAGATGCAGATCTCGTTCTCGACATCTGTAGAAAAAACAGAGCGAGAGATAATTTTAATGACAAATAAATGACTGTTTTCACTCGTCATGGACGAACCGATGACTGGATTTTTTGAACCATGACTACAGCTAAATACAGTGTTTTCCTCTCAGTATTAAGTTTTTTCATAAGTCTGAACTTACATAGTCCGGAACACGGAGTTCCCAGAATGTTGAAATTCGTAGCAAAATAAAGATAAGTGGCCATTAGACTGAAGTCAACGACTTTCCATCATAATTAAAATAAATATACATGAGAAATACCAGCACAGACTTACATTTGATAAATTATCTGATTTCCAAACGCATTTAAATCTCAAAAGCTATATAACGATACCAGAGACGGAAAGATGTTTATGAATTATAAAAAGGCAAGGCTATTAAAATATTGTGGTTTATTAGAAAGTACCCTGGTATTCGACAGTAGTAACTGAGGAAACCTACCAGATAACCGCGAACCACAGATTCGAACATGGTGCCTCCTTATACCGACACAATCCTGTCTTGTTACGCGTGTTTAAAGTAACAGAACAACAGTCGTGATATCAATTTAAAATCTTATTTAATATCAGTAATGGCAGTATGATTAAATAAAGGATATGGTGGGAAACAAAATGGCCGTTGCTCATTTCAAAATGGCTACCGGATGTTCTCTCTAAGAAAATCAGGGTTGTCCGTGTCTCATAAGAATTTAAATCAGAAGCGTGACTATAAAATGTGCAAGTACAACGAGGAGTAGAACTGTGAAATTGAACATCAAAGGATGGAGGAAGATGCAGCAAAATAATGTTAACATTGGAAGAAGACTTCAAGACCAATTCAGTTATCGACCCAAGGAAAAGGAAATATTTATCGGCCCTGAAGAAGACAAGTCGTGAAGAATACGAGACAAAGGAAATAATAGCGAAGAGAATAAAAATGTAATCTGTAAGCTGGGGAATGAACATAAATACATTTTAAAACATTTCTCTGTAGCAACACGTAATACAAATGGAGGAACAAAATAAATACGCCGGCAAAAAGAAAGTGAGGTTAGTGTCTTAAACCTCAAATAATGTTTTCTGCGTGTTAAAAGAGCTTAATGCATGACGATAGCAAAACGTCAACAGATTATATGGACGAAAAGGAATAGATTTTTTCTTGCCGGGACAGATAGAATTAATTATATTTTATTACGTTATTATATTATTAGTGGCTTTTTCAGTCGATTTGAAGTGTGACAATTCTCACTGTATATTGGAATAAATTATGTTCTTTTAAAATGTTTTCGATAACAGATGGGTTTTTTGGTTTTTTATGTAAACGAAGATATGAATTTTAATAAAAAATAGCCATTATACAGAGTGATCGAGATGTCACGCAAGCTATTCCTGAAACATGTTCTCTTTGTGAAAAAATAAATTACACTGAAATCATAAAATAATAGACAATGTTGTACTAGAGGTCGGACAACCCCATCGCGTTGAAAATGAATGTCTCTCTCCTGCACGCTTCCAGTGTCACGAAAATGGTACAACGGGCGAAATATTGTCGCTTTTTGTGTGTCTCTACATTAAAAATTGTTGAGAAAGTTTACCTTTGATTTACAAGTTTCTTTGAAGAAATGTTTTATTATAACACAAAAAATATATTCCATTCGGATTGGAAACTTTTATTTACCACAGTTTTCGTTATGGTTAATATGTAACAAAATACAATAAACATTAGTCAAGAGAGCGTGCGGTGTGCATATTTTTGAAATAAATAAATATTTTTGAACAAAAAGCAATGAGACTGACTTGTTGACATTCAATTGTTTTTCTTTCTGTTGATAAAGTAAAATGTAGGCATATATAAAATGTTGCTAATTTTCGTAACTGAAGTAACTTAACTGAATCAAAATGGAACTTTATGAGAGAGATTTTATAAATATATAAAAATAATTAATGATTTATAGACTATATTACTTTCATATTGACGTAAAAACATGACGGATAGAACAATATATTGTATGTAGGCCGATATTTTATTTAGTCTTTTGCCTGTTCAGTCAAAATGTATTTCATAAATTAAAAGAGGGTGTCGTGGGTACCATAATGAACGAGGGGAAAGAGGGTTAGCGACCGGGGAACATTGCCTTAAACTGCTCAGTCACTAAATACAAACACGTGACACCTACCTGTTGTTCTACGATGCTCCTGCTGTGTTGATTTCAGTGTCGACACGGAGAGTGTAAACGTTGTACTCCGACCCTTGCCATTACTGGAGTAAACAGAGACGAAGTAGCCTGCTCCGGGTTCGAGTCCAGTCACAGTAAATTCCGGTTTTGAGCGACTGGTTATATTGGAAACAATCCGACGTTGCAGATTGGAGCCACTGTTTCGCGCTGCGGAGTACAGCTCCATTGTAAACTCCTGAGGTAAACCGCCGTCAAAACCTTTCTCACAGTTTACCTGAACCGTGGTAGACGTACGGTTCACCATCATGCATGTCCGCGGTGCGTCAGGCCTTCCTGTGGACGGAAGTGTGACATACCAATGTGCAACAAATCATGAATGTTCTACATATAATTACTGGAAAATATCAGTTCAAATTAAACGCAGTCTAAAAATGGCTGTCTTCTGGGTTGTTGCGCCGTGTAGTCTGGTAAAAGTTTACAGACGTTACAGAGGTCCTTGCTGCCTCCATAATCATGGAGATTGCCAGGCGGCAACCATCTTCAGACTCACCGCCGTGAAAACCTCAAATCCTGTCAATGCGGAATTATTTCTGTCGCATTTTTATCCCTGATATAAATTTATTATGGTGTTAATTTTGTTTGAATATCCTATTAAATGTTGGGAATCTCGGCCTGATGGCCTTGTAGACCCTGCAGATTTTACCGGAGTAAATTTATAAATTATTTAGTGGCGTGTTCTGGATAAGCGACGTAATTGTAAACTCCATCTACTAATATTTACATAGAAGTAAACAATTTGAATATAATGTGTAGTAAAGTAGTCAAATACAAAATGTGCGCCATCGAAAGCGTTGTACATTTTCCTGCTGTTTTCACAGCAGGTAACCACTTCATTTACAATACAAAGTATTCAGCTTACGAGCGCCTCGCACGAAAAATACGCATGTACTAATTAAACCCAAAGGCCTAAATGAGAAATTGTCCGTTCTTAGTACGTATAGTCTGGCCTATAATTTATCGTACATTGTGAGGAAAAGTATGTTTCTTGCCTGCTAGCAAGAAGGCAAGAAAAAATTTATTCGGACTCTGTATTTACAGAATTCTGCTTTGGATAATAACAATAAGTAACTAACACGACACCTATAATGTAAAATTAGCAATATGATCGATATGTTGACACTAATTTGTTTGCAAATGGCATCGGGCGATAAATCGAATTATCTTGTTCCAATTAGTCACTATCGTTTGGAGTATCAATATATCATGCTATCTGTTGGCAAAGAAATTATACTACTGGATGTCATTCACGCTGGATAGAAAATACTTTAACTCAAACAATAATGAATGCTTAAAATGGTGTTGTGAAAGGTACAGTTTAATTTCATTATGGTAAATTTATTATGTTGCTCAGCTGATACTCTACTCTGTTAGATGGGGTATAGTAATGTGTGGTTCGGATGCAAAGTATGTACATTTATTCAATAGGTCTGTCAAAAATTTCACAAACAATCTGTCAAAACAGAGAGCAAAAGGTTATTATACAGACATCCACGTGTACATATAAAAGTTCTAAATGGGATATCCACACTGAAGAAGCACGAATAAAGCGAGGGTATTGTCAGCATTATTTTATTTGACAGTATTTTATGAATGGTGTAAATACATTCGTATTTGAACTAACTATATGTTTGTAAGCGCTTTTGTGACCGAGTTGTCACGCGGTAGAACCATACAAACAGTTCTACTGCCGAAACTGTAAATAACATATCAAATTCAAAGTTATAATTAATATATTGCCGAGAAAAAACCTTTAAAATCCATAAATGATTTTAGTGTGGGTACAGAAATACGAAATGTGATAGAGCACTTTAACGTGATGTAACACAACCGTGTACAGTTTTATAATTTAAATATATCGTTACTTAATAAAGTCATTCAATTTAATCAGGGGTTGTTCTGACCTCAATACCATTATAATAAGACCATGAACAGTACAAATAATTCAGCCGTGTAATTTGAGTCTTAGTCTAATAAATCAGTAACATGATTAGTTCTCTCTACAGAGGTACGTGGATGTACAGTACAACACTACGCAACCTTAATTAATGTTTAACTACAGCGAAACTCATTTGAATTCCACGTGCATTGCATGCAAAGTCTGCAGTGTAATGACGATACTCTAAACATCTCCAGTGATAATATGGGTAAAACGAGGTTATAAAATTCCAACGAAGTCGAAAGCAAAACAAGTCCTGTTAAAAGAGTCCCAGAATAAAAATAGGAAACAGATAATATTTTGGTTCAATAAAATCTTCTCGGGAAATCAGCCGCGTTAACTGTTTACCGTAGGAAATAGAAGTTTCGGGAACTAACTCTGTCCCCATCTTCAGGGTTCTGATGTGACTTGATCCTCGGAAGTCGCCAATATTTCCGTTATTTATAATAATTAAACTGAATAAAATTGTGGCAGAGGCAAATACTTAACTTCGACAGATCAAAGTTTACAAATAAAGGGAAAATCATACGCTCTGGAATAAGTCCTAGAGACAAAGTCGGCAGTCAGACAAAAACAAGGTGAAAAAGTTAAGTAACAACAGACAAACGCAACATTGGGATGACCTTAGAAATGTAGAATTCTGTCATGAGTAAACACTCGATAAAAACAATGCGTTGTAAAATTGTTCATGAGACACACGGCCGTGTAATAACACTGAGTTGGAACGTCACAAATTTTGTCGAGTTCGGTGACTTTCAGATATCGAATTGTATCTTGCAGATCCCGTAATTATTATTTGAGGCAGTTTTCTATCAGGTTAATACGCCACATTGTCCAAAAATGAATTGTGAATCTTTAGGTACTTACGTTTTGAAATAAAAAAATAATGAAATTCATACAATTTCTCTAGGCCTATAGAAATGCTGTCTATTAATTTTTGTAAAAATGTCTTGTTACTGTTTTGTGTAGACAAAAATCTCTTAATTTGTGAGAAGAACATGATTAAACGTGTTTAAAATCAAAGTGCTCAGGGATGAAGTTTACAATCACCTGCTTTAACAGTCACAAACGCTACATTTTTACTTACGCATTTCATATGATTCTCACTTTAAACAGGGATTATTTACTTAAACGGAATTGACCAGGTAACATTTGTAATGGACAAGTGTGGTTAACAGGGATTATTTACTTAAACGGAATTAACCAGGTAACATTTATGATGGACAAGTGTGGTGTTTGCTTTGCTGTACGGACTAATTTCAAACTATTATTAAAAATAATTTAGACTTCAAACAATTAACCCAGAACTTCACTGTATTGGCTGCTGCAGGCTCGGAGATAACTATACACTTGGAAAGACAAGAAATGCTAAATACAGATCACATAAAATACAATGCAAATCGTCTCGCTTCATGGCGTGAACCAGATATATTGCCTGGGACAAAAAATGAGGAAACAAATATCATTTGGGTTTGTTACCTGCTGGCACAACGTGAAAGACACAAGGCACGGCCTGGGAGCCCAATTCGTTTCTGCCCCAACACAGCAGCGTTCCATACTCGCGCTCCGACTTCGGCTTGTAGCTCGCAATGCTCCTACCACCGCCTGGCTCAGACGTCACGCTGTCGACTTCTAGCGACTGGACGGCGGAGTTGTTGAAGGACCAACGGAACAGACCCGCGGGCGGGTTAGCATCAACGTCACAGAAGACACGAACCTCCTCGTGCCTGGCTGCGCCGTACACCCTCTGCTGACCCGCACTACACACTGGTTCATCTGTAAGACCAACTACCTTACTAGTTCCAGCGAGAGCGTTATAACCCCTCAACTGGTGACAAATCCCCAAGTTTCATTGGTGTCCACAAGAGTCTGTCCTTAAATATATGAATCCTGTTCAAACACATATAAACCAAGATTTAAATCAGCGACTTCATGAATGCTAACGGCCTAGTTGTAAAATTCGGTCCCATTTGTAAAGGAAACCCAATATGGCGTCATAAACATTTCAGACGTGTGGGAACAGAGATTCTGAAGTCCACTCTTGGGCATTCACAGCCTACGCGAAAGTCTCCAAGCACTTTAGATAACTCCTAACCAGACAGCCCCCTTTGAGCCACTTGCAAATGGCTCTCAGTCACAATGTCGCCGGCATAAATATCTGTTTACTGGGAAACACATTTTAAAGTTTGTTACAAAATTTGAAATTACATTCCGGCTTTGAATGGTAACTACACGTGGCCTACACAGTGTTTCAGAACGAGTATAAAAAGTTTCAGAAGTTCTGTGCAGAAAACATGCTCGATTTATTCCATGGCAATTACACTGGGCATTCTCCATTGTCTGCGAACATGACATTCCGGAAATTGGCTTAGCTCCTTTCTATGCCTTATGTTACTGTTTCACCCCTTTGTTATGGGTGTTCAGGCAATTAATTGGCTCTCCTATGCACATATATGAATGGTTCTGAAGTGAATAAGTTTAAGCTACTGCAAAATTAATTACAATGAAACAAAAAGTTATATTAATTTAAGCGTATTACAATAAACACCAAAAAATGTCTGTCTTCTGGGTTTCTGCGCCGCGTAGTCTGGTAGAAGTTTACCGACGTTTCAGAGGTCCTTGCTGCCTCCATTACCACGGCGATGGCGCGGCAAGGACCTCTGATTTCTACCAGACTACACGGCGCTACAACCCAGAAGACAGCCATCTTCGTACTCACCGCCGTGAAAACCTCAAATGACAGCTTTATAGCAAGAAGTATGAAAAACGTTTTGTGGGAAATGTTGCCTAATAACTTAATTTTATTGTATTAAAGTATAAATAATAAAAAGCACGTCATAGAGCACAGAAATCAATATTCCTGACTTAACACTCACTGGTTTCTGAACCGTCCATCATGTTGTCTGCGAATGTCAAGGGTTGGGGTGTTACCTCAAATCCCTTAGACTGAACGTACGCGAATTACCACACCATCCAGGTTGGCAACAAACCGAACCTTCTAGAATAACAAACCGAATAATTGGACGGAGGAAGCAGACAGAAATTCTGTTAGAAAAATCAAGTGTTATGCACGTAAGAAAATGTATCTTATCTTTTCCGAATTACAAGGTAAATATAAAGAAAAACGGAACACACAGTTCATGGCGAACATTCTCGCTTCCTGATTCCAAATTTACATCACATGTTGCCATCCGTCCTCGTTTCTACAACTTCCTGGTTGTCAGCTGTCCACATAATTTGACATTTCTTCAGTTATTTTTTGCATTTATTTGAGAACTACAACAACGACACTCAATTCGCTTAAGAAAATACTTCTTAAATCTCTCTGTAGTTACTTAAAGAACACTGAGCAATGAGGTACGTCGAAAATAAAATATAACTTTGTATTTTCTTCCGTCTGCATTTCTACAAGTAACCATACTTCTGAGTATTTAGTATGGTAAAATGTAAGTAAAACAAAAATGTGTCTTAGAAAAAGTAATTTCAACTCGATAAACTACTGAATTATCAAATGGTTTCAGATTTTGATATAGGTGTTAGTTGTTCGCTATGCCTGTAGCAAAAGATGATCCAATCATCCACAAAGGAAGTGTAAAAATTTTTGTTGATCCTTGTTTAATCGAATCATGTAAATAGGTTTCACTGTAGGAGGTAGGAAATTTGATGCCCTGAATCATGGAGAATGATCTCAGCTCAACAGGTGTCGAGTGAGTGGCAGAAAAGATCAATGGTCACTGTGGCAGAACACAATTCCGACATGATTAACCGACAATACGCAGACTTGATGGACGTAATACACATTTCTACAGACAGCATACAAAATCACACGGGCCAAGTTTGTGTAAGCCACTAATTTAACGTTCTGTCCGCGGGGATGAAATTACTGCAGGTATTGTTAAGTCCATCTGATTGGTTTCGGAATCCATAAATGCACTTTGGAATTCTATGCTTTGTTTCCTGATTACACAGGAATCTGCCCTAACGCATTCGGAATGTACTTATTTATAAATAAGTACATGCAAGTAGCACGCATGAGTCACAAGAGATACATATAAAATATTGGTTGAAAAATCAAAACGAAAGAGAACACTTGTTAGATCCAGGATAAAATGGGAGAATAAAATTAAAATAAATTTAAAGTACAATCCGAAGTACAAAAAACGTTATGAGACGACAGCCATATTCCACAAACGTTAGGAACCAAAGAAAACCTCGACATACGAGGTTTTCACTGCGGTAAAAATACGTACTAATGTGATTTTATGGGTTATGATACCGTGTAATCCTCCGAATGGTTGTCCTATATCGAAAGGGAATAGGAGATCCAAACCCCTACACTGCAGGTTGCAAGCCCAACTTCAGTTCAAGAGTTGACGGTTTAGCGGCTATGCTACTGGAACGCTAGGTCAGCCGGACCGCCGCGGGCGAGCCGGGTGGAAAGTTATCGTACTGAAGACGGAGCGGACATGTTCCTTTGAAGTGTTGGTAAATGCATCAAAGTCCAAAGAGATCACACACACAAACCAGAGGGAATATCAATAAATACGTTACTTACACTTGACATCCAGGTTGAAAGGATTGCTCTCGCTGTCTCCTTCCGAGTTACTGGCGAGGCAACTGTACAGGCCCGAGATTTCCCTGCTGACAGACTGCAGTACCAGCGTCTGGTTGCTCAGGATAACTCCAGTGCTCGCATTGTTGTGCAGTGGCCGGCCCTGAACAAGCACCGATTAGCGGTTACCACTCTTCTGCATTCGGAGTTTCCACTTCGAATCTCTTCGAGTTACTTTCTGTGGGTCTCCTTATTATGTTCAGGTAAATGTGCGATGGTGCGTTACAACATGCCCCATCAGCATCTCTCCACATGCGATCTACGTCAACATTTACAGTCACCCTAATATTCAGCTCCATATAAGTAATTAGTTCACGTGGAGGTGTTAAGGAAACAAAGACTCGTCTTTCCAAGAAATGTTTGGATAGTTCGTTACTGCAGTTAACAATCGCCTCTTTGAACATGCTTCCTAAATCGTCATTTAAAACCATCATTTAACACTACACGCGTTACTGCAGTTAACAATCGCCTCTTTCAACATGCTTCCTAAATCGTCATTTGAAACCATCATTTAACACTACACACTATAATCTATGTCGGCGTTTGCAACTGGTGGCCCGCGGGAGACATCCGTTTCGAGACCACTTAAAACGAGGTAAGCGAGATTATTAACTTGTTACTGTCGCTTCTAGTGATTTTTTTCTTTACAGCGAACGAAAGGGGTTGTGATTTTTATCTCGTCTACGTTCATGAAGCTACTGCCTTTAAAACCCTGCCGTAAAATGTAAGATTTTCAGATAAAATGTGTGTCAGATACAAGCTGTAGCAGAAGCAAATTTAAAACAAATGTAACACTTTAATAGTTTGTAATTATTTCAATAAAATATATATTAGCATATATTACGGTCATTTGTCATCTGAATAAGTATTATTATTAAGATAGTGAAATATGGCTATTAATTTTAAAAATAGTGCCAGGAGGGATTCTTTGTCCCTTGGGTCCAGTTAGCTTGACCCTGAGCTATGTAATTAATATGGCGTTGTTAAAGAAACCAAGAAAGAAATGAAACATCTTGAAATCGCTTGGAACTCTCGTTGTGCTACGAAGAGTTTAGAGGAATTTATAGCGTTAATTTAATTCGACACTACGTGGATGTAAGTGGGATATTTTAGCTTCGACTGACTTTATCCATTGGTAATGTTTCAGCAACACCTGATGGATACATTTCTTGCAAATGTCTCTGACGTCTTCTGAACGTGTCAGAAAAATTAAAACAATGTCATCGGGAACTGATCTTAGGTCACAGAGATCAAAACGTGTCACATTACTGATAAAAGGATAGATAATTCCATTATTACCTTTTATTTGCCATTGTTTTCGGGTTAATGTTCATTTAGGGAATTCCATTTTATTAGAAATATAATCGTAGCTTTCATCTGATATCTGATTAGCCAACGTATAATATTTTAAAGTAATTTGTACTTTATTGTGTTATACTGTAGAATATTATTGGCAGAGTACTTGTCACTACGGCCAGTTCATGAAATGTTCAATACCTAGAACCAGGAAGTGGAAATAATTGGATTGTAGGCCTACATAAGCTATTTTTGTAAGAGAAAGACTTTAAAGCAATTATACTGAGTCTACTATACTGCGCATCATTTTAATGAAATATGGATTACACGCCGACAGAAGTACAGGCTAAAATTAAAACAAGAATAAATTTCATACGGTTACTGTTATGTGAAATGTTCATAGTGTATAATTATTTTAAAAGCGTTGAAGTTTAATTTTACATTTAATTTTAGTCTTAAATATGATGCTCGGATTGACTAAATAATAATGAAGGTACTGGAATTGGCTTATAATTTCACTTACCTTCAAGATGATACGTTTCTTCGAAGAAAATAATATTACGCTAAAGTCCTCTTACAAGAAGTTTTAACATAGCATATTTATTTAATGACTCAGGCAGAAAAATAATCATGGTCATTTATAACCGGATTCATATCAATTATGTTTACTACTCAAGCCGTCAAATCAAACTAAGGACGTTAAGGAATGAAATGTCTTAATAGAGGAATCAAATAATCAAACTAAGGACGTTAAGGAATGAATTGTCTTAATGGAGGAATCAAACGAATTTATGAAGAGATCACAGCTACCCGTATCAAAAATTGAAAAATATACTATTATGATTTATGGAATAACGTTGTAATATGAATACAGAAATATTGCTAGTTGTTTTTTTGACTTGAAATGTGGTCTCGTACTCGTAAGATGGGGTGCAATCTATTAAAAGTGTTTCGGAATAAGTTTATGAAAACTTATTGGACTTAACATTTATGAAGTAAAAAAATTTGGATATTCCATAACGAGGAACTTCAAGGTTTTTATGCATAATCTAGCATCCTGTAGGTAGTAAAATCTTAAATTTTACTGTGCAAGCAGATTGTCTTGGAAGCCAAATGAGTGATGAGCAGGGAGGAGGGTTAGAACGGAGAAAGGTTCCTGGTACGAAATTATTAGGAAACATTTGATCAGCTCCGATCCAGACCATTTGCTCATAGTATTGCATTCTAGAGTGTCAATGTTAACATTAGCATTTCATCGAAATATTCGTAAAAGCTCCTTTGTTGGCGTTCAAAATTTTCCGTCAACAGTACGATCAAGTATTTAAAGTAGTCTACAGTTCACAAGAACAGAAACATTTAAGTTTAATGAGACGAACACACGAAGAAAAATCTAAACACGAGACTAGTCATTACAAAGTTTTTGGACTTCGTCCATCGTCTGCCGTACCGAAGAGAAATTCCCACTTTTCGCTGGAGAACGGAAATAGATTCAGTTTCCGAAATATGATTTATTAAAATTGTCACAAGAATTGCAGATACCAGGAGAAGTCCAGAAACCCAGTAATACTAAATCCAATCAACATAGGCTCACCTATCATTGTCAGAACCACACAGAATTGATTTAAACATCAGATTTATTTATACCCCGAGGTTTCACGATGCAATTTTCCTCAATATCTCCAGACGGAGGATAACTCAGTCAGCATAATGACTGACTACGGATTTGACGACCTGGGTTAGATCCCCGAAAGGGGCAGACGAATTTTTCTCTAGTCTTTGCGTCCAGACCGTTTCTGGGGCCCACCCACCCTCCTATCCAATGGGTACCGGGGTTGTTTCCCAGGGCTCACCACTTACCTCCATCTAGCGCAGAGATCAAGAATGAGTACAAGGCTTATATAGGGCAGCTTTACTTTTACTTACGTTCAGACGAATGTAGGGATAATTCCATAAGCACAAACCCCGTAACCACATGGCTTAGAACCCTGAAGCTCGTAGCAACATAAACGAATTGGGGATTACTGATAGAAATGGGCAGATTTGCTTGAAGGTCGTGTAACTGTGTCTCCAGTGGCTGCTGTATTTTGACGACAGTTTAATTAACCTTCTAAAGCCGAATGAGTGAGTGAGGCAGGAAGGGTTGAGGGAACCGCTCGTCTACCTGGTGAAAGCAGGATGGAAAGAACGTAAAAAGCTCGAAGACAAAAATATACAAGAAAATATGTGGTTTCAGAGGAGAGAAACTGGGGACAGTGTCACTGAAATCCATTCGAATTTAGAATTTGTACAATAACAATGGGAGAGCGACATTTGGTAAAATTGTGATTGGGGGGAGCTACTTTAAGGCGTTATTTTGATATTAATATCAGGTGGGATACGTCAGAAGGATGCAGTGTAACGTGAAATTAGTGTAACAACTTAGCATTTGCTCCAGTAACCAGGAAATGCTAGTCTTCATGAGATTTAACAATCACAAAGATCAACTGGTTAATGTTATCTAAGGAAAATAATAAATGTTAATTATGATTATCATATAAAACATATAATAAGGAATAAATTATATGGGAAAAGTGAAAAGTTCTTGAATGGTAGAGCAGGTGGTATATGCAGGTCAACTTATCAATGAACGTTAAAGAGTTAATGGCTACATATTTTCTTAAAACCATATATTTTCCTAGCATACGTTTATTTACAATCTATATAATATTTGTGGAGAATGTATCAGAATTGTGACAGAAACCGAACTTTTATATGGCCTCTAAACTATCAGTACGTTATATCAATTTCTTGTCCAATACCGTGTAGCTCTCAAACGATCGACATTATTGCCAGTCATATCATACAGCATTTAATGTTTCTCTCTCTCCAATTTCTAGCACAAAATAAAATTTATTCTTATCTCTTCCAGTTGCTGGGTATTTTTCTATGTATTTTGATGCATAGTTTCGTAATTATATTTCATCCTTTCCTGTCTCTACAATATTTTGATTTAACATTTCATAATGACTTCAGATCTCGATACTCATACATACACGATATTGCAAAAGCCTGTCTTCTTCTTGCACAGGAGATGTGCCTAAATGGTGGTGAGCTAGTCAATTTTTTCCGCAGATTGGACAGAGGTAAATTAAGAGTAGTGCTACGTACAGAGTGAAGAAACACTTTCATGACGAATGTGTTCCTCTTGAATTTGTCGTGAGATAACTACTTTATGTATTTTCACAATATATCGTAAGTAGGTTCTGACCTACCATGTCCCAGTTAACTCGTTGGTAACCAATGACATCTCGCTCTAAAAGAAACTGCTTACTCAGGTAAAAGTCTGCTACTGACTTCACAAAATTACAATCTGTTACAACGACAAATATAGTAGGTCTACTTTAAAATATGTTACTATCAATTTCTATCAAATTCTTACCTTCAGTTTCCATTATCATATTCACCATCTCACTCCACACTTTTTGAACTATTCAATGAAAAGAGCGTAGCGAAATAGCCTCAAATCAATCAGCCAGAGAACCTATCTAAATCCACGGTAAAAGCTCTTTCAACACGATTGGTATTCTCTACTGACTTGAAGTTCCATGTTATGGAACCAACAAATCCTAGCATATCTAAGTATCCTTCACCTTTCCTCTCTTTCAGTCAAAAATCAGTATGTTATTTCTGTGTCCTTCCAGCTCATTCATTTTACTGTCCAACATCTGTTGCCTCTCTTCCCATTCTGCCTGCTTAATTTGCTTGTATAGCTGGCGCAGTAGTTTTTGGCCGATGGAGAAGCTAGCGGAGCTGGCGGACATGCCTACTCTGTGTACCTGAGGTGGCACAGTCAGTGTATTTCTTTTGTTTGGGCGCTCAGTCCGATAAGGTCCTCGATGCAGTCAGCATTATACTATCGCACAAGTGACTCGCTCCTAGCCTTCCCCTTGAAAATTCCACCGGCCAAAAACTACCGCGCCGACTATACTAAAGACCAATTTTCTTAACTGAGAAACGGAGGGGGGTTTAAGCATGCGCACAACACGTCTGCTGGGCCACCTACGTGACAGGTATTTACTTAACTCTAGCGGATATTACATGTACTATATTTTACTCATAAAACTAACCAGTGTTCTAAATATTTAACCAGTCAGTATATTTTAATTGATACTCAGCGTTTTAAAACAAGCCGAAAATCTGTTACATAAAACGTAATATCATGCTTTTAAGATCGATTTGAATGGATTCGGGCCGAACGAAGAACGTTGGGATAACGTAAAGCGTAGCACGAACTAATTTTCGAATTGTTGTGTCTCGATACAAATGTGTTAGACAAGGCTTGAGAGAAGATAAGGTACGAAAGGGACAGAAAATGAACTGGGGAGAGAATGATGATAAGATGAACAAATGAGAGTTATAAAAAGAAATAAAGGAGGAATAGAGTAAAAGTACGAAGGAGATAAATGAGAAAGAGCAAGCAAAAGAAAAGAATACGACAAGAAGGAAGCAAAGAGATTAAAGTACGATAGGAAAAACATAAATAGGACGAACAGAGAGGGTGATGAACAAGGAAAAATCATTGCATGTTGAATTTCAACAGGCTTTTGATACAGGTGACATGACAGAAGAATTTTCTTACAGGCGTTGGTATTTTTCAGTTAGTTAACATATTACTTGCTTTAAAGAAACCCCAAAGTTTTATCACAGTGTTTGCAAACCCTTGCTAATCGATCTTTCAAACAATTCCTAACAAGCTACATTTTTAAAGTGAGTATTTGTAACACCATGCCCACCCCGCAAGCGGGAGGTCCTTCACAAGGCAGCAACATGACTTCCCGTGTCTGAAGAACATCGCGAAACAACTTCCGTACGTTGCCTCTGCAATATAACAACAGGTGGCTTGCATTCAGCGAAGATTTAGGATTTCACTTAAATTAGAACACTCGTCAGCAATCAGACCGCCTGAAGTGCAGGGCGAACAGAACCTAGTCAGTGATGCACAAATCACGCAAAACTAATGGACAGGCATGCACCTGGTGTAAACTTTACAGTGACCAGAGTCAGTAAATATAAAACCAACACTTTGAGGGATCAGGTCAATGCGCCTATTTACCGGATCATTAATTACGCTACAGCAAAAATTGAAGCGTAAATGTTGTAGCCACTACCAAGCGACATTATATTTGTGGAATGAATAACACTACAGAGCGTGTCGGATAGATCGATCAAGTATTTCTCGCAATTAAATGACTTACTCTGTAAGTATCAAAGGATTTTGTCATTTCGTTCCTGTATTCTGTGTATAAAAGACCTACATCAGTAAAATTTAGCTTACACTACATTTTAACTTAATTTAATCTGTTTATCGTAAATGTACTCAATAAACAACTGTTTGTATGTTGCGTAATTAAACGAAATCAATTAAGAAAAACACTACAAGTGTGTGCAATATTTCAGTTTGTTTAGAGACATTATATGAAACGTACGAATTATTCCATGTATAATTATAAATGTCTTAATATTTTTTTCGAATTTATTAACTTGTTCCTTAAACATTTATAAGAAGTAAATCCTGCAGTTGATGCAGCTCATTACTGTTTGCAGCGTTACTAGGTTATATTTATAAGTTTTTGTTTCAAAATTAATATTCTTCTTCCTACTGGGATTTCAGATTCTCACGGCGGCAAATATGAACATGGAAGCCCTGATAAAGGAGGCAGTACGCACCTATAAAATGTCAATATAATTCTACGAGACTATTCGACGCAGTATACCAGAAGATTCTCATCTTTAAATTTTATCAAATATTATTTAAATAGCTCAGATTGAGGAACAGATAACGAATGATTTAGGACGAGTTTGGAAGAGAGCAGAGGTGACTTGTTTATAAGGTAAATTCTTCTCATTAAAATTGTTTGTAGAGACTGAGTAAAAGAGGGGAAATCGTCTGTATTCGAGCTGAGGTTTTAAAGTAGGGCACACGAGATATAAAGCATGAGTTCAGGACACAGGACAGCGATGTTCAGTACAGGACGTTCAAGTCAAGAAATGTAAAAAAAGAAAAGAATCTCATATTTGCTAACATCCCCAGATCTCGACAAGTTTCAGAAGAATGTTTTCCGGGTTCCAGGACATAAAATTCCACGACTTCCAAACTCACCCTACTGAAAATAAAGCAACGTCAAGGTATGTTAATGCGTTTCGAATTTCATCTGTAGGGAATTCACACAGATCCATGATGCAATATTTATGGCTTTCCCGAGAATTTCCGCAGAACGAACATAACTTACAATGCAAAAGTCACTGAAGACTGCACACGGATTTAGCATGACGGAGGGCAGTTCAATTTTATTTGTACTATAAACATATTTAAATTACGCCAATGGGGACTGAACAGAAGAGAAGAATATAAATAGTCTGTGAAGTTAACGGGGTCAAAATTCAGGGGTCAATAACACGTAATGTGAACGCAAGAAAACGGGTTACCAATAAAAAATTTAAGAATATAAACCAAAAGGGCGGAGTAAAATAGGAAAAACCTAAAATCCGATGGACACATTGGACTAAAATGGTAATGGGCCAGTCCCATTGCCTGAAGATGAAAATAAAATATATCTGATCAAGCATTAATGTAATAATATTCCAATGAATAAACAAATTAAACCAATAATCGTAAAGGAATAAAACAAACTACATGCAATAAAACATAAGAATCCAAATGAAACATTTTTATTCTTGGCATAACAAATCTGTAATTAAAATAATAAACACAAACTATAAATAAAGTATTATAATATCCAACCCAAAATAAATGAAAGTAATGATAACAACATACCAACTCACACTAGGCCACGTTAATTTAATTGGATATTTAAAAACCTTCATGCGTTCAATGAACAATTCCACATTCCAAATATGTTTCATAATTATAAATTAAAGGATTTAAATATATAGAGAATGGGCTCAGGACGTCTTCTACACAAGTTTCCCATCTAAAGCAGGCAACCGGGGAAGTCGAGATGGGCGCTTAATGCATCACGCATTGCGAAAACGTAAAATATGCGTAAAACGCTAGTTTTAAGCCCGAAGAAATGGGACAACTCGACCGATCTGGGCGTAAGTATGAGGAAAATATTAAAATGGATCTTTAGGAAATAAGGTGTTAGGGTGTGGACTGGATTAATGTAGCTCAGGATAGGGCCTGTTCGCAGCATGTTGTGAACACGGTAGCAAAACTCAGAGTTTTACAAAAGGTAAAGAACGGAAAAATTGGAATGTTTAAACTTCCTCTAGACGTTGCAGAAAGAGAAACAACTGAATGCTTGTTAACCGGGATAAAACTGTATCCTGAATTCTCAAAAGTAATGGAGATTGTAAAGAGGGTAGACGCTCTAAGGAAGAGTACCGTAAAGCGAGTTGCTGTTTCCCGTAAGCACAATGTTATAACTGAGGGTTACGTTCCTGAAAACAGACAAAGTATAAAAAAAATAGAAAAATATTTCCTTAAACGAAACATGCAGACAATAGAAACAAATTATTACACATGCTTGAAAAGAAATACGTCCTGTAACAACAACGCGAAAGCAAACAGATTTCTTGGCTTCAAATTTATCTCCTTTGGATTAAGAGACTTCAGGTCTCTGAAGTGGATTGAGGCACATTTTATGGAGACCGAAGAAGAGACGTTGGGATTGGGGGGGGGGGGTCATCAGGATTCTCCGCGTAATCATCAGATAGGAGGGTTATGTTGGTTGGGGATTTGGGAGGGATTTTTTATTTGAAGGGTCCAAGTTTCCAAGCTGAGGGTAAACGTTTCGTTATAAGAGTTCGTATGAGCCAAATTTCGTAATGTTAGTTTTTCTAAAGCGAGGATCGACTGCACTCTAACGTCTACACGATGATGCGTCAGCGTCATGACGGGGCGAATACCAACCTCCCCCACCCACTTGACCGAGTTTTTACAAGTTTAAAGCGTAAAGTTATTCTAACTATACTCTTTCTGAAGGTGTGATAATTTAACTTACCATCTATATTAAACCGGTTATTATATAAACCACTTTCATCTTTCATTGATTCGACATTTTACTCACAGAATACAGGAAGATAAACTTTCCACTCATGTTCATTAACCGTCTAAAGCGAGGATCGACTGCACTCTAACGTCTACACGATGATGCGTCAGCGTCATGACGGGGCTAATACCAACCTCCCCCACCCACTTGACCGAGTTTTTACAAGTTTAAAGCGTAAAGTCATTCTAACTATACTCTTTCTGAAGGTGTGATAATTTAACTTACCATCTATATTAAACCGGTTATTATATAAACCACTTTCAGCTTTAATTGATTCGACATTTTACTCACAGAATACAGGAAGATAAACTTTCCCCTGATGTTCATTAACCACGATTCCATGAGGATATATGGGGTGTTAGGTACAGCTCCACTCTTACTTAACCGCGGAATTAGATCGAGGTGGGTGGTCAGTCTCACGCTCCGTCCACTTTCTCCTCAGGGAAAAAAACCCCGAGTACCCACTGGTTAGAAGTCTGGGTGGACCTCAGAGTCATTCTGGGTGCGATACATAAGACAAACATGTCTCCCCCAGCTGGGAATTGAACCTCAGTCGCCCAGCCTGTAGCCTACCCATTTTATTGTTTGAGATACTTTGATTTTGCCGAAAACATTTTGGTTCGCGAAATACACAACACGTATCGTAAGTAATCCTTAACAGCCTGACTTATGTTACGGGAAATACAGGTTTTTATCTTACAGATAAAATTGATCGATTAAACACAGTTGGTATGTTGAATTTAAGAGTCAGAATAAAATAATTTTAATCATATGACTGAGATGTACAAATTCACTGGTAACAGATCCCGAAGGCTCAACAAACAAAGCAAAATCAGGCTCTGGAATTGATTCTAAAATTGATTTATATCCAAATACATATTCGAACGCATACATGCCACACCTACGCGATATTCGTTTGGCGAATATTAATGACACTGTTAGTATATATGACTTGAGAGCAAAGAATGATAACAGTGCCTAAAAGATAATGAAATGGAGAAGATGTGGAAGGAAGCGGTCGTGGATTACTTTAAGATCCTATACCGGCGGGTGTTCGAAGCGAGTGAAGAAAGCTACGATAAAATTCTGTCAGAATAATGGTTCTGAGGGAACCTCCGGAATATATAATAGGTGGGTTAAACACTCGACCGCAATGATTCACAAAAATAAAACTATTTACAATGCGCTTCTTTTAACTAATTGCTAATTCAGCAGAGGAGGGATGTTTCTTGACAGTTGATACTTGCAAATCCAATTTGAAAATTCCGAACACTTACGAACAAGGTTTAACCTAGTATTAAAAAATGAACGCCACTGGTTCTAACCAGTGCCAGTTCTATACAGTCCATACCGTGGAACATAATCCCTTGTGACGTTTCATTCAGCTACATGTGAGGGAACGTGTCTTACTCATATTTAGAATCGAAATTATTCCTATTTTCATGAAGCTGAGGCAGTCTTTTATTATAAAATTAAATATTATGTTAATATAAATGCAAAATATAAATACTTATTTTATACATGTTTAGAGACCCACGTTACTAAAAGTGATTTAAATTTTAATCAATTATACCAACATAAAGTGATCTGTTCCCACGATAAAATAACGAAACTCGTAAAACATAGACGTCCGTGTATTTTTTTCGCAATCTGCTTTTAATTAAGAACTTAAACTCATGAAAACAACTCAAAATTCACCAGCGGCGGTTTCATAAAATAATCGTATGCCTCCGTGTCTCTCGAGATTCTTCATTAAAATTAGCAATATTATTTCATTTTACGTTTCTAGCCAGATGCTTAAATAACTGAGTAAATAAAGTGATATTTGTGACAGTAATATTTTATTATAATCTGGTATACAAAGAGTTACGACGGATAATCGGCGCT